ATCTTTCCAGTTGAGTTGTATTGTTTTTCTTGGCCACAGTTCATGCTATTAAGATGAAAGTTCAGAGATGTCATGGGATTTTTAAATTAAGAGAGATTGCCTAAAAGAGAAATGGAGGGGGAGGATCTCGGACAGCTTTTGTCCAGGCTCAGGAAACACAGGATTGGAACCATATGCAAGACAACAGCAGGCAGTAGGCTGACTTAATATTGATGCAGCTTATACACAGGTACAGGCAGGCAGAGAGACAGGTAACAGCCAGGGAGATGGATAGAGGTCCAGGTAAAGCAAAAGTGAAAAAACAAAAAGGCAACACAGGGACAAAGCAAGCAGGGTGAACTTACACTGAAACAAGGGGGGGAAGATAACTAGACACAGGTGAAAATAATCAGGGCAGGGAAAACTGGAGAGGAATCAGACAAAGACAGGAAGTGAAGTTAAATAAGACACACAAGGAATGGTGAGTATTACAAAATAAAAATTAAAAATAACTAAACTAAACCCGAAACCACGTCAGCTTTCCCATGACCGCCGACCAAAACCACCCAACTGGTGAGCCAGAATGCGTGGAAGTGGTTGTCTATAGCAGTGGGACAGTGTGCAAGTGTTGCTATCTGTGAAGCCCATATGATACATTTAGTGAGCAGTGATGTTCAGGACCTTGTATTGAGTTAAGTGAGTTTAATTTTAGATTTTTGCATATGGTTTGCCAATTGGTGTCAGATTGATGTATACTGAGAGAAGAAAAGTGAAAGTGAGGGTGAGCGTTTCTTATCACTGCTTAGTTGGAAGACACACTGCTGGAATGTAAGGGAGGGATGTTTTCTTTTCATATGACTGGGAACGTTATCAGCAGGTACGTTAGCTCATATCTGCCTCACCAATGAGCTAATATGCTGACGTTCCACCAAAAACACACACAGATGCTACAAAATACACACGCGCGCACACATACAAGCACACACACAAGCACACACACACTAGGATAATGCCAGTACAACCTGACCCAAATAACCCTGTGCCTCACACTATATACCTCTCTGCACAACCATCCTCCCTTCACTTCTTCACAACACCCGCGTAAAGACAAACCGCAGAATTATTTATAATACCTTCAGAGATTTAATGGGGTTCATACCTTGATCCAGTTCAGCTGCCACATCCTGATCTTGAACAGTGATCTGATTATCTATATATATCTATACCTTTACAGTATTCTTTAAATAAAAAATATATATTTATAATACAAAATAATACTAATTCCGCATTGCCAGTCACTGATGGTGGGGGTTAACACCTTCAACCCCTGTTTCAGAAAGCTGGATTTGGGAAAATGGAGTTTGTTAATCCTGGGATGCATGAATTTATGGGCTGACACTGATGTTTCTGTGTGTACTTGTGGTGTTTTTTTGTCATCCATTCAAAATAGCACTGTTTGTAAAAATACAAGTTTTCAGCCCTAAGCTTCCTGGTGGAAAAATTCAGGATAGACTTACATGGAATGTAAAAGTTTGAATTTGTTGTATGGTTTGTTGATCTGATTTGTTGAAGTTTGCCTGTGATAGATGGTGATATTTCCTCCAATTTCCTGCCAGGTATTTTTTTGAAAAGGGGCTGCTTTTTCCCAAACAGATTCTAACAATACATCCCAGATAGTTCTGTGTAATAAAACCATTTGTTGCAGTCAGGTTAACAGACGATGTCAGGGTTTAAAAAACAACAACAACCTCCTGGTTTTCATACACAAGGCTGTGACTCTGTGGTTCTTCAGTCGACTGTGGTAGAAAATGGTTCTTGTGAGAACGTTTTCTTTTATCAGGATGAACAGAACAACCTATTATGGTTCTATGACTTTAATTCGGAGTGAAGAATTCTCGTTGACCAACCTTTTGTTGTGGTTTAGATTTCTTGCCGTTGCAGGTACGAAACCTCAGCGAGTTTCCATTCCCACAGTGGACACAGTGAGCCTGTGTTATTTTCAGGGAAGTGGGGGGGGGTTGCTTTCTCTTTTTGACTTCAGGTGCCAGGCAACCTCTCTGCCCTTCACATTCCCCAGTTTCGGTCATGTGATCAGAGTTTGGCCAGAGCCAGCAGAGCATGACCAGGAAGACTCACAGAATGCCTTTTTTCTTTCCTATCTTCTTTTTTTTTTTTTTTTTACAGTCGGCCAGGTTTAGGTATTTGATGAGATTCAGTTTCACCATAGCCTCAGGAGCTTTTGGTTTACAAGATTGCTGTTTGCTTACTTTTGTTGGTTTCAAAACTTCACTCTATCCCTCTTAAACTCACAATTGAAACATTTAAATTGAAAATGAAGTGTTTCAGTTGATATGTTACCATTTAGAAACAGGAAAATGTATGGAAATTTTGGATGGCTGTGAAGTATACCTAATAATCAATGATTAGCTTAACAATGACCAAACATGCCTGAGGGTCTTAGACAATTCACTGGAACAGCACAGGAATTGCTGCTCACTGGTAAACACAAGCTTCCATCACGATGCTCTGTGATGCCTTTGTGTGGAAGACCTCAATGTATTTGCTGTTGTTGAGTTATGTTTTGGTTAGTGTTACAGTATATGTGATGTCCTCCACAGGCAAACAACACCACAAAATGTGGAGTAGTGTTGCAGTTTGTTTAATTTTCATATAAAAAATGATATATATATGTATAAAAAAACATTCAGTTTTAATTAGCAAATAATTTTCTATTACTAAGTGAACCCCTGAATAAGTGACATTTTATATTATCTTCAGTGCATAACAATAACAGTGTAGAACAACTGTACAAATAGTGAACACAATAACTTCAGGAAGTTTGTGTACAACAAGTAATTTAAATTAATTATTAGCAGATTATTTCCTGTGGATATTGCAACACAGCTATGTTTTCTGATATTTTCAGGAACTTTTTATATAATTCTCTATTATGTATTTTTTTAAAGTGATTTTTAACAATCATACATATCTAATAGACGTCTTTTTTGACAAATTCAGTGTTTTCTTCTCCCTGAAACCCTTTTTCTATTAGTTCTTTGATTGTTTTAACTTTGTAATCTTCTAATGCAGGACAAGACTATTTATCAGAGCATGCGTTCAGATCTTCAAAGTTGAGATCTTAAATAATAATCTGAATTTTAAAATGAGCTACTTAATTTTGTGGTCTTCACAGAAATTAATGTAATGCTCAGATATAGGCCTTGGCAATCCCAAGTAGGGTTCCTGACCCCCAGGTTGGGAACCACTGGCCTTAACAACTAGTAATACATTAAAATAACCACAATTTTACTAAGAACTGTCACATAACAGCCCATAATTCGCATTATATGCATTTGTTATGACATGCATTACAGCATTAGACTATCTGACTTCACCTGAGCACAAATTAAAATACCCTGTTTTGCAAAATGTTCAAATAAGGATATTTCCTCATTTGTCATATAGTCTTAAAAATTACTTCCTGAAAAGCATGGCAGTAGGAAATCTTTTTCTATTCGGGCATAAAACTGGGACAAATTTCCCCAAAAAAGCCCTAATATGAAAACATATTGAATGCTCTTGAAACAAATTGAAACAAGCTCTAATCTGTATTATGACCAGATGTCAAGCTGTTCCTTGTCCTTTGTGAGAGGTGACATTGATATGGAGGTAAAAGACAACTGTTAGGAAGTAATGGGATACAGCACCAAGGGACCTCTCCCATATTTACTATGAGATGTTCATTAAATTTTCAAGTCGCTTCCTTTGTCAGGTGTGACTGCATGTGTTTTTGAAATAGACTGAAAGGCTTGACTCATGTCTGTCATGGAAACTCTGTCTGATTGGTCTTTTAAAGGTGCCAGAGTCTAGATAACAACGTGCTGCTTTGCTGTATCTCATCATTACAGAAAGATCACAGAGATAGCATGTTAAACAAGAAAATGGAAGACTCATGGGAAGTAGGATATATCCGTAAGCTTCTAGTTCAAACATTCAAGGCTGGTTCTTTGAGCAAAAAATTTTTGTGTGCGAGGCATTTCTAATTTTACTAGTTCAGAGGCCAGCAGTAGAAGTTTGTGGTGATACCGGGCAGCTCCCATAAATGAATGTGTGTAATAGTGTAAGTATGTGGCAGGCTGTTGGAAAGCCAAGCATCCAATGATAACTAAAGTCTAAAGGGTAAAAAACGAATAAATCATGTAACCTGTCTGGAAAGACTCCACTCCTCTGTGCTCACACTTCTCACCTCTGCCCGGTAACTGATCCTGTGGCTAATTGTTTAGAGCGTGTGTGGTTAAGTTGCCAGTTGCTGGTAACGTAGCCCTCGGTATTGAATGTCAGGGTACTCTTACGAAGGCACCTGGATAGAACGGACGGCGTCATTTTTGGTACCGGCTTAATGTCTCATGCTCGAGTGAATATGCTGTTCCAAAATCTTAAATGGAGCATGATCTTAATAATCTCCTCCAGTTATGTATAACTACATATACAAATAGTCTTCTTGGAACAATAACAATGTGTGTTAAATATGTTTTTTCCACAAAAAAGGTATAATTTACCCATTAAGATCCTTAAAAAGTCATCTAGTCTTTCCTACTGCTAGAATCTATAAATTTTGTTAATTTCTAAACCGGCTGGACACAAGATGTCTCCTACTTTACTATGAAGTCTATTCTCAGTGTATGTTCACTGGTGGCTTCAAGTTTCTACATCACACTTGTATAAGTTGCATACTGGATCAGGATTGACTTCCAAACTATTTGTTAAATCATGCTCCTAGACCCCGCCCCTTAAAATCGAAAAGATTGTGAGCACAGAGAAACTTTCCACTTTCCACAGACGGATGTGAAAACATCCTTCTAGTGTCAAAGTCTGCACATACATCATTATGCAAAGTGAAGCTCAAACATCCATCTGGAACAAGAATAAAAACATATTTTTGACTGGAGGGGTACTTTAAAGCATAAGCAAATTAAAAGGTAGTTTATTTTTTAAATGAAATACAATAAAACATACAGTATATTAAAAAACATCACGTTTATTAAAAAATAACACTTGTGAGATACATGTACTGCAGTTGTATATAATACACAAAGATAATTCCTGTTATGGATGAACCTAGGTGCTATTGTGCCGCCTCAATGCACATTTCACCCCTCCCCCCCTTACCACAATGAGCCAAAAGCTGTGTTGAATACAGTTATCATCTGTCTCGACTGCCTACAGGTGAATAATGATACTCTTACTACCGTATTTACAAAACATAATCTTGTTGATAACCCTGTTTTACCATTTAACACATCCAATTCTTGAATTTTGCATGCAGTGGTGCCTCGTTATAAAGGTGACCCATGAAGCAGTCGCGGTGGTTTGTATAAAAAAATCCAGTGGTAAACATTAAGAAGCCAGTACTGTATAAAAAGTATATAAGTGTACATTGATGAAAACATTTAGCATGTTAACTTTTAATATGACAGCGCATAATTGTTTGCTTTTCGTTTTGAAACATGATTTAAAGAAATTTCCACTCATGTGTCCTTTGCATGCTTTTTCAGTCTCTGAAAAACAGAGTCTAATTCAGAGATATGTTACACTAAAGGCAAAAATCAAACACATCCTTCATTACGGAGTCTCCTTGTTTCCTTGAGCTCTTTTCTTTAGTACACCCCGTTTGATGTGGAGAGCAGGTTTGAGATTCAATAAGGTCTTTTCCTCTTTGACCTTCATTCATACATAGTCTTTCCTTTCTAGCCCTGGGCCACCTGCAGACCGTGGGGCAGAGTAAGCCATTCGTGAAGGGTTGTATCTGGTCTCACGTGGCGGGCAGGAGCAGCAGAGAAGTCCACCACCAAGAATCAGAAGGGCAGCAGCTGCCCAGCCGATGTACAGTGAAGCCCCCAGCTCCCTCCGCTGAGCGTCAGTAAGTAAAGGGTTGTAGAAGTCCCTGATTATGGTGTTGGCCGACCAGGAGACAGGAATGAGCTGCATGACCCCGGAAACAATGAAGAAAATCCCAGAGATGATCATCACCTTGGACTTGGATGCCTCATCGTCAATGCAGTTGGTGCATTTGGCCCCGGCAATTGCGATGAGCACAGCGAGGATGGCTAACAGGATGGAGATGACGGTGAGGGCACGGGCAGTTTGGAGGTCTTGGGAGAGAGAGAGCATGGAGTCGTAGACCTTACACTGCATCTGGCCCGTGCTCTGGACCACGCAAGTCATCCACAGGCCCTCCCAGATGATCTGAGCCGTCACGATGTTACTGCCGATGAAGGCTGTCACCCTCCACATCGGGAGGGCGCACGCCACAATGGAAATAATCCATCCCAAAATACATAGGGAGATGCCTATCAACTCCAACCCTATAGACATACTGAAAAGTCTTCCTCTTCTGCTGCTGAATATGTGTCACACCTGAGAGGAGATCACAGAAAAAGGGGAAGAGTCAAACAAAGACCCAACTACTAATTAACTTAATTTCAGGCCTTGCATCCGTGAGTGTGTGATGATCTGTTGCCTCGACCTCACCAGTATCCTTTATAAGGCAGATCAGGTGGAGGGGAGGAGTCCTTCAAGGAGCTTACATCACCAAAAGGGGAGGAAGGACCTGGACACACTGCTATCAGCTTACATGGCCAGCTTCACAATGAACCTCGCCACAAAGAGGCCTTTTCAGCTGAAAGGGCACGCAAATTTTGCACATGTTGTTATAACCAAAGTAACACTTCTCAGGTGAATTTCCGACTTATTGTATGATTGAAAATAAGGATATCCAGTTTTATGTTCAGCTGTTTTACAAGAAAAAGTTGATTGATATCTTTGTTTTTATCTTTATCGGGTATCTCGGGTTATAAATGGAATCTACCTTTTCAGAATCTGTGTATTTATAGTTTAATAGACAGCAGTACATTTAATTATCACGGAAAGACTCTTGTTTCAGTTTTTAATAACTTATAGATCACTTCTTCATTATCAGCCCAGGCTTCTTTATGCAGGGCCTCTGTTCCTCAGTAACAGCCTTCTAACCTTTTTATTGTCACTGTAGTAAAAAACCAATCTCCAAAATGCCAGTGCTTCAGGGTGTCAAAAAAAACCCATCTTGTTTCAGCTTAACTGCAGTTTATTTTTTTTAAATCAAGCACAGAGGATTTCAAAAGTTGTCATAAGACCAAGGATAGGGGAACTTTGTTAAACTTTACAGGAGTACGAACTTCTTCAGTTTAAGGATCACTTCGGGTTAGAGTTATGAGGCTTTCACCTGACAACAGTGTTATGTTTGATGGGCCTTAATGACTCCGTCTGTCTGCAGAATGCCCTTGAAATTCTTCTGGGTTGGGACTGTCTCCCTAGAAATGCCCCCACCCCCGTGACATTCTGTAACCCAGTGTTGACAGCCCGCCCAGTCTCCCCCTGTTACATAAAACAGGTCCATTGTTTAGGAGACCAGTTCAGATAGTTGAGTGTGGGGAAGCTGACAAAGTAGCGGTTCTTGTTATCATAGAGCCAACAGACATATGGGAGACAGCCAGGTGGATAGGTGGTGTGATAGAGACTCCCAGTCGTCAACCTAATGACTGGGTATGCAGGCTGCATGGACTCATTTCATCACATTTTCTTTGCACCTGTTGATGTGAAGATCAAACATCTTACTGAATCTATTTTTGAATGTGTTGAATTTTACAATGGGTGTCAGTTTTGTCATTTAAAGTATAGCAGAATGTGACATGACGAAAGATAGGCCTGATTGATAGTGTATTTTATATGATTTCTCTCATACTTTCAGCCTCGATAATGGCGAAAGAAAATCCGATAAAGTTTGAAAGATCAAAACAACGTAAGTTAAAAAACATACCTTTAATCACAATAAAGTAACATGTCAGACTTCAAAACATTTCAGATGAATTGATTTACAAAATGGATAACAAAAATCAGCATTGTGTGGCTTTATGACAGGCTGAAAAAACTGAAAGTTGTTTATAAAACAGACACACCGATAACACAGTAAAAAAAAGTACAATACAGATTCACCTATTCTCCAAATTTGCATCACACATTATACTTATTATTTTCATAAAGTATAAAATACAGGGCACACCACATCACTAACATATAGTTGTTAACCTCAGTACTTCCAACAGCTCAAAGTTACACACAAAAAATTGACAAAGTAAAAACAAGTTTGGTGTAAGCTTTGTTAAAAAGAGCTTACATTACATGTGGAAAAAAATCCTGAGTTTTCCTCATCTCAACCATAAAGATAAATGTTAATAAGTTATTAAAAAAATTACTGTCTTTTCCATGATGGAGAAGGCGTGAGAAAAGAGCAGGTGCGAGTTCAGACGTAGTCCCTCCTATCGTGGACACTTGGGGCGGTCGACCTGGTTTGGCCGTACATTATCTTTGATGGAGGCCCGTACCTTTTCTCAGGTTGCGGGGGGCAACTGGAGCAAAGGATACCCCCTCCAATGAGAAGAAATGAGGCTGCAGCCCAGCCCAGGTACAGAGCTGCACCAATCTCCCTCTTCTGTGACTCGGGTATAACTGGATTGTAGAACTCCATGATAATAGTATGGGCAGACCAGGACACAGGAATCAGCTGGGTTAGAGACGCTAGGATGAAGGCCACCCCAGCAGCTATCATCACCCGAGCCTTGGATAACTCTTCCTCCACACAGTTGGTGCATTTTGCCCCCATCATGGCCACCAGGAGTCCCACAATGCCCACCAAAATCGAAATGATGGTGAGGGCACGGGCAGCCTGAAGATCTGCACTTAGAGCCAACATTGAGTCGTGGATTTTACACTGCATCTGACCTGTGCTCTGGACCACGCAGTTCATCCAGATGCCTTCCCAGGTGATCTGGGCTGTGACAATGTTCATCCCAATGAAAGCTGACACTCTCCACATGGGCAAGGCGCAGGATACAATGGCTAGGATCCATCCCAGGACAGCTAGAGTCACTCCAAGTATCTCCAGTCCCACTGAAGGCATGTCTGAACTCTGTGTAAGTCAAAGTGCACAGAAGTCTTCTCTATCTCAGAAGTGGCTTGAATTAGTCTTCTCCTTTGAGCTGATGGCTCATATAAGCAGCAAATTTCTTTAGAGCAGAAGGTGGAGTCACTTAGTTATTGGCTAGGGAAGAGTTCAAATCACCTTCTGTCCCACCTTGTTTGAATGACCAAAAGCCCAGCCCTGGCATGTAAACGGCCTCAGCTTAATCATTCAACTTCCTCTGTCCCGGTAGCTCTCCCACCTATTTGGGTGAGGGGAGAGTAAACAGAGGGTGTGTATCTCAGGTCTGGAGTAGTTAAAGGATAACAGACATGGTAAAGATCAGTAGATGAATGATTGAAAGTGGAAGGCACCATATGAGCTCCTGCAGGTTTCTCATTGTAATCCTGTCTGACAGACGTTTAGAAATCTGAATTGAATCCAAACAAAAATATTCCATCATTTTCTGTTTTGTGTTGTTGAGACCACATGTTGTACAAAGTTGTTATTCATATTTTACTTTAATTATATCTTTTTAGTTTGAAGCTCAGGCAGAGAGAAAGATATGTTGGAAGTGGTGGAAAGGGGTTTAAGTGGGAGTGCTCTGATTATCTGAAGAGTGTTTGTATCTGTCTGGGGAGAGCCTCTGTAGCCTTCCAACAAATTTGATAAAACCATCATCCCAAGTTCTATGGAAAGCCTGACTACAATTTATTGTAGCCATCATCTCTTATGATAGGAAATTACATTTTTTTTTAGCTGTGGGTGTTTCGAGAGAAATTTCAAGTATATTAGTGTTATCAACAATTTTGTCATACAGAAGATAAACCCAGGACCTTGCTTTGGAGAATTAATAAATTGTGTGTTCAAAATAAGGACTGAAAACAAGTGCAAATATTGCAGTAAGTGGGTGAGGAGGTATAGAAAAGCTATTTCAAAACATCTTTGACAGAGACAACACCCACATTCTTTCCAGTCACTGACAGAATCATTTAGCAAGCAACTGTTCTGACATAGTCCTTAAATAGAAGATGTTCCCTCCACAGAATAACAGATCTTCAAATATCAGAACACAACTTGAAATGATATAATGTAGAATCCACAAGAAGTTGAAATATTAAATAACAATGTTGGGATGTGTGCACTTTGTGAAGCTAAAAACAACTTTTCCTAGCTCTCTAGCATGGGAAGTTAATAACTGAGCCCACATGCGGGAACTACAATGCAAACAACACAAACGAAGGGGGGCTCAGTATGCATGTGGAAGGCACACAGGACTCTGATGATAATCATTTATGAATATCCTATGCATGTCTCTCAAGACATAGACATGTTTGTAATGATGATTCTAAGGAAAAGTCATACAAAGAGAGAGTGGCCAAGTGTGTTGGAAGCTGAAACAATTGTTGTCTGTGTAAGTGTGCATAAGGGTGGGGGGTCTTATCAGTATCCTTGTTCTGAAGGTCACAGTGCATCAGGAGTTTCAACCTCAGTTTAACTTTTGTGTGTGCCACAAAAAAAGACCCCACCTCCAGTAATTTTACCAGTTTCCCTCTTCATAGACTGCACTGAATCTGCACAGCACCTTTGTGAATTTGTACAGTTTACAAAAAAGAAAGACATTGTAAAGAAAAAGAGGCAACGTGATGTGGTGACTGTAATCAAAAGCATTACATTGCTTTTAAACACAGGAGTATTTGATGATTGTGCAAAAAGCCAACATTTTTTCACAAGTTTCTGATGGTTACTTGAGGCCAAGTAGGAAACATGGGTGTTTCTGGAGAAATTTCAAGTATATCAGCGTTATCAACAACTTTGTCATAGAGAAGCTAAAATCAGGACCTTGCTTTGGTGAATTAATAAATATTGGGTTCAAAATACTGACTAAAGACAAGTGCAAATATTGCAGTAAGTAGGTGAAGAGTTATGAAAATGTATTTCAGACATTTTTGAGAGAGACAACACCCACAATCCTTCCAGTAACAATGCCTGACAGATTTTTTTAGCGAGCAACTGTTCTGACACACAGTCCTTGAATAGAAGTCCTTCCCATTATTCCTCTCCAGACAAAAGATATTTTCAAATATCAGAACAAAACCTGAAATAATTTCATGCAGAAACCACAAGATGATGAAATATTAAATAACAATGTTGGGATGTGTGCACTATATGAAGCTAAAAACAACTTTTCCTAGCTCCCTAGCATGGGAAGTTAAGAACTGAGACCACATGCGGGAACTGCCATGCAAACAACACAAATGAGGGGGGGCTCAGTATGCATGTGGAAGGCACACAGGAGATGACAATCATTTATGAATATCCTATGCATGTCTCTCAACATAGACATGTGTAATAATGATTCTAAGGACAATTCATACAAAGAGAGAGCGAGCAAGTGTGTTGGAAGCTGAAACAATTGTATGTGTACGTGTGCATAAGGGTGGGGGGTCTTATCAGTGTCCTTGTTCAGAAGGTCACAGTTCATCAGCAGTTTCAGCCTCAGTTTAACTTTTGCGTGTGCCACAAAAAAAGACCCACACCTCTAGTAATTTTACCAGTTTCCCCTCATCATACACTGCACTGAATCTGCACTGCACCTTTGTTAATTTGTACAGTTTACAAAAAAGAAAGACATTGTAAACAAAAAGAGGCAACGTGATGTGGTGACTGTAGTCAAAAGCATTACTGCATTATTGCTTTTAAACACAGGAGTATTTGATGATTGTGCAAAAAGCCAACATTATGTCACATGTTTCTGATGTTTACTTGAGGCCAAGTAGGAAACATTGTCAACACAGTACTAACCTCAAAAACTAACATTTTATTTCTTATAGTCTTTGCCATGAAGTGATCTGCTCATATTTGTACACATCGTACTTCAGACAGTACTTCATACAGAGTTCCGTATTTCAGCAACACTCTCTCTACCATTGTTTGTTTGTGTTTTGTTTCACCCCTATGAAGTGGGAGCTGGTGCTCTTATGGTAGACAATGCATTTTGTCTTTATCTCTAACTCAGCTGTTGCACTTTCCCATTAACACATGACTGCACAGCTGGGCTCAGTAACACAATCCTTCAAGCACGGTCTGTGGACATTCAAAGTGAGTGTTTAGGATATCTAGAAGGTTAGCCTTTAGATCATTAACCTCATTGCTGAAGCCACAACAAGTTAAGAAAGCAAGAAATATTTTCAACCTGTATCTTTGTTTCTTGTTCTTCACGTTGTTGGTGACCCTAAATGCAGCAGGCCCACTGTCTAGCTGCTGCTGAACTGTTGACGTGTTACCGTAAGTTTCTACAACAAATTATGTACCCAGTTTTGTTTTGCCATTTAGATTTTTAAGCATGGAAATTTATTCTGGTGAATTCCACCTGAGGATGAAGGTAAACAGTTGCAAACCACCTGATGAATAGAGTCTTTGTGGCTTAGTTTGGACTCGGTTACAGTGCAGGTTACATCCCCTCGCAGATGGAGACTTTTATCTCTGACTCAGTTTCGCTCTCACAAATGGCAGGCTACAATGGAAGGGGAGCATAAGGTGCTCTTCTTGAACAAGCCACCCATTGTTTATTTTCTCCATTTACCTAATTTTGACGTACCAGTATGGTTCTTATTTGTCAGACTCTCTACAGCTGGCATCCGCCTCTGTTTCTGCATACCAAAAGAACATATGCAGGCATAGTTATTATGTTACACTTAATTAAAGCATCAGTCTCAGACTCTGTAGCATTGAAATGAAACTGTATCTCCACCGTAAAGAACGCCTAAAAATGAGTAAAATTCTTAAAGATATTTCGTTCTTTTATTGATCTTGTAAAAACACTTGCTTTAATCAGAAATAATATACATAGAGACATTCCATACATTTAAGATCAGACATCATCTGGTTTCTTAGAAAAAAGCCAAAATCTACAGTTAAATGTATTATTATTTGAAATAAAATATTAAAAGCAACATACGATGCCCACCACTACAGAAAAAATGTCCTTACAAAAACACATAATGAGATATGCATCAGTGATTCATACTTAATGTCCAAGCACAAGATGCTGCAGTAACATCCAAAAATATGCTAACACTTGTCATTGTATCTTCACCTGCGCCCACATGTTCATACATAGTCTCTTCTGGTGTATCCATTAACTGACATGGTCTTGACAGGTGAGTAGTTCATCCGGGGAGGCATGGAGCCTCCACTACTCTGCGCTGTAGCTGCTATGGGTGGGCAGGAGCAACAGAGCAGAGCTCCCCCTAGGATGAGCAGGCAGGAGGCAGCCCAGCCAAAGTACAGAGCATTACCAAACTCCCTCTTCCCCGTCTCCTCCAACAGTGGGTCGTAAAAGCCTATGACGATGGCGTGCGCTGTCCAGGACACAGCCACCAGCAGCAGCAGTCCAGCTACAACAAAGGTTACTCCAGCAGCCACCACGAGCCGTGGTTTACTGCTTACATCCCGACTACAGTTGGTGCACTTGGCGCCAGCCACTGACAGACCAATGCCCACAATGCACAGTACCATTGAGACAATGACCAAGGCACGAGCTGCTTGAAGGTCCACTGGCAGCCCCAGCATTGAGTCATGCACCTTGCAGTGCATCTGGCCTGTGCTCTGCACCGAACAGTTCATCCACAACCCTTCCCAGATTACCTGGGAGATGACAATGTTCTGACCGATGAAGGCAGCCACCCGCCACATGGGCAGGCCGCAGGCCACCATTACCCCCAGCCAGCCGGCCACAGCCAGGATCATCCCAAGGATCTCCAAGCCTGCAGAGTACATATTTGGAGTTGGGGATGAAGAAGGAGTTGAACAAGACTCTCTTCCAGGGATAGAAGGCCCTCTGTGTCCGCAGGCACAACCCTCCTGAGATGAAGGCGATATCGGATCTCGCTGGCTCAAAGTCCTGCGTAAGACTTTTAGTGAGAGAGAAAGTGAGAGGGAGAAACAGATTCTACCTTCTTTATACAGCTTAGACGACTGAAGGTGGAGTCTGCTTAAGGTGGCATCATGTTTACCTTCAAACTACACTTGCAAATGGGGGTACTTCAATATTTTTTACTAAATTGTGTTCAGCTGAAGTTGCTGTCATATATGAAAACCAAAGAAAAATTATTTCTGAAAACATATTTTGTCCCTGTAGAGTCTTAGATAACAATAAACATATTGAATACATATGGATTCTGAAAGATGGTGTTATCTTAAATCCAAACCACTTTTACACAGAAGCAACTTCCAGCAATCCTTTATGTAATGATTACACTATACTATGTAAAGATGCTTTTACCTGTGTTCCTTTTCAGTCTTTTGAATTTAAAAAAGAGTACGTATCGGTGTATATGACATGTGACAACCTTGAAGAAAAACGCTGAATCACCATCTGAATGAGATCTCCGTGCAAGAAAAAAAGAGCAACAATGACAGGCCTTGTTTTTTGTTGGTCAGCTACATAATCCCTCTTGGGAGAAAAAAACACACACACTGGGTTTTAGTTAACAGGCCTTATTGTTAGTGGGCATGTTTGAGGTATTTTCCCTAAAATGGACTTTCTCTGGTTGAATATCTAAATAAACTAAAAATGCACTGAGAATGTCAGCCTGCTAGATCATGACTTAAGCCGAAAATAGTCTTTTGAACCTTCATGGGACACACTACTGCAGACGTCAAGCCTTAAATACATGGTAGCTCTTCGTAATGGTACCTCGTCTGCAGAACTAATCCCTTCGGTAAATACCCTGTTTGTGTATGATCATTTTTGGGAACGTCAAAAGACAGAGAGCACATTTAGTTTTGGGCTAAAAGATTCTACTGAACAAAAACCTTTAATTACAGTGATTTCATTCTAATTATATCTGAAGCTGGAAGTGCTCAACTGAAGTAGTGAGGTGTAAAAGGCCCTGAAATATCCAGCTGGTTTAAAAATGAATAAATACATAGCCCTGTACAGCATTCATGAAATACTGTACAGCAGCTGTTCTGTCTTTAAGTAACTCAACAGCACCCTTTTATCATGCTGCATGCTAAATTAATCAAAGAATACCTCAACAGGTGGGAATATCTTCTAAATATGTTGTTGTTTAAAGACAACAGGGCTGTTGAGGTTGGCTGACAGATGAGCTCTGTATGATTACAGGCTTTCTTCTAATTAACAGAGGTCACCTGGGGTCAGTGGTCAGGATGAATATCTCTGGTATCTTGTGGTTTACCCCCTCCGCAGACACACATGTACACACATGCACACACTCCCATCCTCCCACACACACACACACTTGACAGGAACCTGAGAGAATCTGCTCCATTTAAATGGCAAATCACATTATTGTTAGTGTATTTTGTTTACTTAAAAAGAATAAGCTTTTTTCCCAATCAAAAGCATGTGTCTGAATTTCTCCCATCAGCTTGAATATTTTTTAACTTTAAAGACATTTCTCCAGGTGTCTATTGAGACCTAAATATCAAAGAGAGGGCAGTCACTAGATGTCCATAAACGCACCATAATGAAGATTTCCTTTGATAACAATCCCATTCAATTATAACCAGGAGCAAAAAAACACCCTGCAAAATCCAAGAACACAGTTTTAAGAAATGCTGTTGAATGTATTTATTATATAAAAAAATATGGTATGATGAAGAAGTGGAAAGAGAAGGTTAAAACATTTGAGAGATCAGAAACAGGCCATACGATCTCTGCACTCTGAGATAGACATGTTGTTACAGGCAGGGGGAGCCACACTGCATTCAATCTGTGTTGTGTTTGTCTGATTTTGCAGGTTTGCACCTGTCTGTCTAGCTACACTGTGGATTAGCAATATTAGCATTTCTGATATACTGTTTACATTCACAAGTCTTCAGCATCTTTTAAATATTTTCTGAAAACATACTTTTATCAGAGATTTTACAGGAGTTTTTTGTTTGTTTGTTCTGTGTTTTTATATATTGCTGGATTATTTTTATGAGCTAATGAGATTTTAATGCCTCGCCTTGTACATGTGAAGCACTGTGTAATAGGGTTTGAAAAGTGCTCTATAAGATGCTTAATGGGGTGGAGTTTCATATATGGCAGCTTTCTGATGCCTTTCTAAACTGTATTTATCCCACAACTATTGTCTCGACTAAGAGCCTAACACACACAATATTAAAATATAAGTCAAATGTACTTTTCTCCCTTTGGTTTTAGTTTGCATCTGGCAGCTGTCCCTGTACAGGGAGTGCTCAATATAAGGGAGTTCCTACTTCCAAGAAAAAACATTTCTGTCTCTTGAAACGCCTCACAGCCAGTATTCAGAACACAGTGCAACTCTGTGGATTGCCAGATAAAGTCAGATAAAACCAGATACGGCTTGATAACAACAGACATGACTGACTATTGCATCCTCCACCACATTGACCTGGTAACAGGTTTGAATGAAAAAACAAGGTGAAAAATACCCTGCTATACAACACAATACCATAACTGACCTGAAACAAGTTACCGCTCATCATTATGAAACATATAATAAAAAGGTATTGTGTGGTTGCTCTGTAATAGTATGCAGAGCAGCAACACAGATTCAGCCTGAGGCCAGACATTTGGGTGTTGCTATGGACAATCCATTACTTTAGTTTCAAAAACACACCGATAACATCACACCAACAGTCCCGTTGGGTCAGACGATAATTATTCACATTTTGTGATTTGTGGTCAGTTAACTTTTGCAATATTCTTCACTTGACGTTTGGAGACATCTGTCATCACTAACCACACTATTACAAAATGCTGACTATTAACAAAAACGTGTAAAATATGTATCTTTGCATTTGGCTTTGTGTGGATTTGACTTTAAAATGTTATGATTAACTTTCAAAGTTTGGATTTGCACCTTGATACAGCTGAGCATTGTGTACTAAAGTGCCTTTTTTTATGAAGCATTAGATTTACCTACAATAAAATGTGGGGAGGGGGGCCTTTGGTTTTTTTGTATCAAATTTCAGGAACAGGATATTGAATTGTTACTTAATGCAACGTATAACTGATGTGTAGCAGAGACTTTGTATTCAAACTAAATCAAATATGAAAGTGTCATTAATACAAAAATGTTAAGTTTCAGTAGTACACTAAATTTCGTATTATATTTATGGAGTCAAGCAGTCTATTATCTTATACACATAAGTGTTGTTTGATGAGTACAACAGAAACATCTCCATAGATCTCTGAATAACAGGCTGTGTTTTCATAGACACCAAACATGGCCATTATTTAGGGAGTTCCCTATATACGCTGCAGGTGCATCCTGGCTTCTTGATAAGACTGTTTCCTGGAAATAAACATGTAGCCACTTGCAGAGCACCTTGCTTAACATTCACCTGTCATGGGAGCAAAAGCGAGTCTGACCGGTTTCCATGAGCTACTGGTGTCCACTGTAGGTTGATGTTTGTTCACACTACACTCTCCTTAAGACTACTTACTACTTAAGATTAGAACATTCTTTTTGATCAATTCTGTCTACATTTAATTCATTTCTTTAGATTTTGTTGTTACTGTTTTTGTTTCACAAATTGTATAAATTATTAAAACCTATAGAGTGTAGTCGTGTGACGGATAATGCAGACAATACAATGTATTAGGAAGTTAAACAATTAATAAAAATAAGGAAGCAAAAGTTGTTTTGTGCTTTGTTCAAAGTAAAAAAAAAGTCCTAATCTCTATTGCCATCAGTACACACAAGGAAGTGAAAGCGTCCCCTGACCAAAACACAAATCCTCAACCACTCCCTTTCTCACAACCAAAATGGCTTACAGCCTTTGCCATTATATGTGGCTTGTATTAACCCATATTACGTCCTACGTCACCAACATAAGAAAAAACTAATATCTGAGCCACTGTGTCTTGAGAATAGAAAGGAACAGGGACCATAAGTTTTTGATATGTAAAGATATTGTACACTCTTGATGCCATACTGCTACAAAAGATCTCTTTCATCACATTCTGCATACTCGTGTAGACGTCAGGTTCCTGTTTTTGTCATGTGATATTGTGTCATGTCCGAACACGCCTGACTCACTGATGATCCCGCAGAGATACTTACTGCGCTTAAATTACCCACTGAAACTGTGACTGTACCGGAACAATAGCCTCAGTGCTTCGGTGTAGTGACATCACATGCCAGATACCGACACGCTCCCACCCACGCAGATACAAACACATACTTCCCACTCTGATACATGAAACTACAGTACTCATAGTTTTGTATCACCTAAAAAAAACCAAACAATGTAACTAAGGACAATTTTATTACATACCAAAATATCAATATTTTCATAGAGAACTGGATCACTTTATATCTCATGCTGGAACTTGGAATATGATACTGTTTAGTAACTTACAATGAGCTGTACAACTTAAAATATCACAGAATACATATTTACATCAAAATATACAGTACTCTGCAACTCATGACTAATTTATATTGGACAAAATTAACTATAAAATTAAGAATTTTTGAAAAAAGTCCACCAAAACAAAAAAAAGGCAAAGTGAAGGTCAGGGGGCTGCTTTATGGGGCACTGTAGGACAACTACAATGCCACCAGAAAGAGGGGTGCAGTTAATCAGCGGATGCATATCCCAAAGCATGATATTAAGTCAGATTTTTTAAATATAGTTTATCTGAAGCTAAATACATATATCTACTATTGTGCTGGCTGGTAAAGTCTGAGCCCCTTGTCAGTTCAATCAAGACTAATCACGATCTTTGTCAAAATGACCACCATTAGACATCAACAATAATTTAAGTTTTTCACTGAAAAGAAACAAAATGCATTAAGAACTAGATTATTTAAATATTCCAGGAAAGCATTGCCCAGTGCTGGACAAATAAGTTGGAAGTAATTAATCAAAAAAAGAATTAAAATATAAATATAAAAATATATAAAATTTTAGGCTATAACTTACTTTAGCTAAATTCAAGCAGTCATGACTAAGGCCACAAGCTGAAACACACTGGTCTGACAATTAAGTTGTTTTACAAGTGCTGGGATTTTGACCTTTCTTTTTTTCCCCTTTCCACACACCTTGTAGGTGAAGTTGCTCCAGAAATCAATTCTCTGCTTCTAAGTTACTGATCCCAACTAGTACCCAGTTTTATAACTGTGAAAACCTCATTACTAGTTTCCCACCCTGAACATTCAAAATGTGTTTTCATGTGTATTTACACTCATATTGTTATAAGGAGTTCAGTCTAGAACCTGCCTCTATTTGAAAAGTGTCCTGAGATACTGTTATGGGATGGCCGAAAATCTAACAAAATAAATGAATTGAATTTAATTGAATATGTAATCTCTGTTGTTTAACTTTATTTAAATTGAACCTTGGACAATTTAATACATTTAAATTAAATTAAGACACCTAACCCTTGTCTGCACTGCAGGGTGATATGCATAATGTCCCAGCTACTTCTTTAACTGAAAGGCTGGGGAGTTGAGTGAGAGCCAAAGCCAGCCGTTACTGTGAAGTCTGGGCTTGCCTTAGACTACCTGCTGACACTTGTCACTCCAGCTCCCTCTGGCATTTTCTCACGGCTGCTTGAGTCAAGTGTTTTACCTGTTGCTGAAAAACATTTTGCTAATGCAAAGTTGTCTCAATGAGGAAACTAAAGCTCATCATTACAGTTTTCAGGCACCATTGATTACTTTCAAAAACACACAAGTTTCACATAACCAGCTAAAGTTAGCATGACTTCATTTTACTATCAGTCTGAGTTTTTTTTTTTTTAAATGAGTACACTCATATAAGATTATTCAGTGTCTGATACAGTGCTTTGTAAGGGTGTTGAAGTTGCTGCATGCGTATTTCTTTGTTTATGATATTTGAATTTTTCCAAAACATCAGACATGTGATGGTGGGACCTATCAGGGCCTGCACATCAGGACTAATCTCACCCTGAAACCATCTCTCCTCAGATTCTTAATTGTGGAAATTCTTCACTGCCTCCTTGTGTGTGGAACCCAATCTCCATAGCCAGGCTGAAGTAGCTTTAATGATCTTACCTTGGATAAAATAGAGGCATTATAGTCCTAACGGCAGTTTTGGCTCTTAAACACTGCCTCTATTCATTTCTGAAACAATCTGATTCTCTCTCTACCTCTCTTTACCCCCTCTCACTATTCCCTCTTTTTGCAACTCTGTCAACTGGAATCACTTGGCATAGTGTTTGCCATTTCCCCAACATCTCCCTCCTGCTGTCTTCTCACTTCTGTGGAAAACTATCGATAAATCAAGTGGGACCCCTGGACTGCAGAGTGCACATTTTGCTCCCAAGACAACCAATAGAAGACTGCAACCCTTCAGCCTTTAAGGATTGACATCACTGCAAGGTCAGCTTTGTTATCTTTTCCACCTAGAATACATATTCTCTGTTCATACATGCTCATATAAAATAGTTCTTTGTAAATGGACTAAGTAGGGTTCATAAGATAACTGTCGAAATAATGTCTTAATAGCATCATTGTTAAAAATCTTGAGGTCCAAGGTTTTATTTTCTACTCATTATAGAAATATCTGATAATGTTTTATGTTTTAGATTAAAGCGTAAGTTGCCAAACCTTAACATGGCAGTTCCTAAATGTGGTGAAAAGCTTATGGAAGTGTATTTTTTAGCCTGTGCAGAGTGCAACCGTTTAAACAATATGCTGCTTTAAAGCTGCAGCAGAAGCCAAGAAGTGCAACTAATAAAGTCATTTTCATATCTGTGAATTTTATTAAATTCTGTATTTAATTCTAAAACTAAGAAGCAAGCAAAGTAAAGATGAGAATAGTACTTTAGGCACTTTACACACATATTCTAACATATACATGTTTTCACTTCAGTCTAAATGGGCAACTGTGGACAAAAGTAGTTTGTGTTTCTTCTTTGTTTTACACTGAAACTCCCACAGCTGAAAAGATCACAGACCAAGGGTCAAAGGTTAACAGACAAGATCACAAGCAAATATCTGACAAGAGGATATTTTATTTTATTTTTCTTAGATTTCTCTTTTATGACAAAATTCTTTCTTCTTTCTTTCTTTTTCATCATGTGTGCAACCCTAAAAAATGGAAATGACAGGACTTGACTTGACTTAAAGGGTGTCTTGTACTGACATCAGAGGGTAGAAAGCAGTAATCAATGTTTGATGAAATCCCTGAAACTCTGAGAAAATCTTTGCTTCATCTCTCATTTAAATTAGAAATTAAATATTATGTGCTCCTTTATAATCTGAAATGTACCATTTTGACTTTAACTTGACAACATCAAAGTCAGTCACTGTTACTGCAGTACACAAAACATATTTAAAAGGAACAAGAAAGCTGCCTACTGGCCAATACCATGACTTTGAAGGTGTGGCTGGTGATATTTTTTTGTCTGCTCAACCGATCTCAATACTTGTGAGTCATAATGTGGCTATTCCACCTGCAACGATTGTTGGAGTGAGACAAAAACTGACAAGATTACACATGCCCATGGCTGGGAGTGGGGGTATAGTCATCACGTCACAGATCTGTGTGTGTGTCAAGCCCTTCCCGGGTTAAGTGTATAAAAGACCTGCTCCAACCGTACCCAAACATTTACTCTTGGGGATCTCTCAAGCAAGACTTTACTGACTTCCTGAAACACAACTTTTGGACCTTTTTTTTGGACGACTGCAAGAAGCTTATTGAGGAGACATGGTGTCGGCTGGCTTTCAGATAGTGGGCACTGCCCTGTGCATTATTGGCTGGATTGGGGCCATCGTCGCCTGCGCTCTGCCCCAGTGGAAAGTGACAGCCTTCATCGGCCAGAGCATTGTCACTGCTCAAACCAACTGGGAGGGCATCTGGATGAGCTGTGTGGTCCAGAGCACAGGCCAGATGCAGTGCAAGGTTTATGACTCAATGCTGGCTCTGAGCTCTGACCTCCAGGCTGCCCGTGCCCTCATTATCATCTCTATCCTGGTAGGCATTGTCGGCATCCTGCTGTCCCTCGCAGGGGGCAAATGCACCAACTGCGTGGAGGATGAGGGCTCCAAAGCCAAAATCGGCGTGGCATCTGGAGTGGTCTTTATCATTGCTGGTGTTATGTGCCTCATCCCCGTGTCCTGGACGGCAAACACCATCATAAGAGACTTCTACAACCCAATAATGATGAGCTCTCAGAAAAGGGAGCTTGGAGCTGCACTCTTCATCGGCTGGGGGGCCTCAGCCCTCCTCATCCTGGGTGGTGCACTCCTCTGTGCCAATTGCCCTCCCAAGGATAATTACTCTGCCAAGTACTCAGCTACCCGTTCAACTGCACCCAAGGACTACGTCTGAGAAGAGAAAAGACAAATGACAAGGACAAGAGACTGACAAAAGACTTGATTCAAATGCTTTGTGGTCCATGAAATTGTTTCATATTGCCACAATATTGTGCAAGATCTTTATTTCACAGTGATTTTATTGTGCTCATTTTGATTTGATACTTGTTGAGATACAGCACTTCATGACTTGTTTCATCAGTGCCAAGATTAAGAGATGTAGCTGTTCATCTGGACTGAGTGTCAAAATGTTTGACCAGGTGGAGTGAAAAAAGATACATACAACATGTTTTTGTTACTTTTCCTTTGTTTTCATCCATTTGTGCCTTTTTACATATCATTTCATTTTAAAGTATGTGTTATATGTGACAATGAAATTGTAAATAAAGATTTTGTTTATCTACATTGAATTATCATGCTCTGTACGTTCTTTAGATCATTTATAACATTTTTATAACAGCTTCATCTTCGGGTAAAATGGAGGCTTCAGGAAGAAGTCATATTGGGTGGGGCTCTGCAAGACACAACCCATAGATTCTAGTTGATTAATTACTAAAAGCAATGACAAATATTTTATAAAAGTTATACAAAATTCTACATATCATCAACTCGTCTCCAAAATAGTTTCTCAATATTCTGTGAAATTCTCCAAAAATACTGATTCAGTCACCCTGAAAAATCTCTTATAAGCAGAATATAAGGAGACAAAACTTTACAGAGACAATACAACTTATTTGTGTAAAAACAACAAATTACAATCTTAATTGTATTCAAATCTAATACATCTTTTTGTACTATACCTATGAATTATGAGATGCATGTAGTTTTTTTTTCTTTTCTTTTTTACAGGAAACATATCCATGTCTGAGTCATTACCTGCCCCTTACTGTAAACACATCTTGCAGTTTATTGCCCACTTATTGTGTGTAAATACTCAGGTAACAGAACTTTTATCACCTTTACCTACCGTACAATTGGAAATTCACATTTCATAAACATACAGCAAATGTTTACTAAATAAGATCAATTGTGTTTTTGGCTTTTATTCTTGTTGAGACCTGGAACTTGAACCAATATTACATTTTTATCCAGTTTCCCTTTTTAACAAGTCAGATATACACCCTGTCTAATGTACAGTTTTTACAAAGTTATAAAGCATTTTTGGGGAAAAGCTTATGTATCATATTGGTATCACTGGTATCATGAATTTAGAAGAAGCCTCATTTGTAATTCTTCTTAATTGTGTGTGCTTGAAGCAAAACTTTTATGTTTGAAATCTTTGTCATTCGGAGAATAAAAGGTTGATGGACAACTTTTCTTTTGTTTGTATTTGACCTTGAAGCTTTGGATTCTGACGGGTCAGCATTACTAAAGGTCACTGGATCTCTGTTTATGTGTAAACTCCTTCTAGCCAATAGGAGCTGAGGACTGTGGTATCACATACCCTCATGTCTGTGTCCCTTCTTCCCACACAACAACCTATAAATATAAGCTCACATCATTCCACTTGTCTTTCTTTTTGGATTTTGATGTGTGTGGAGCAAAGCCGGCAAAATGGTTTCTCAGGGGATTCAGATCATTGGTATATCTATGGCTGTGATCGGTTGGTTCATGGTCATCGTGGTGTGTGCCTTGCCAATGTGGAAGGTCACTGCTTTCATTGGAGCCAACATTATCACAGCTCAGACCATCTGGCAGGGCATGTGGATGAACTGTGTGGTGCAGAGTACAGGACAGATGCAGTGCAAGGTGTATGACTCCATGCTGGCTCTGCCACAGGACCTGCAGGCCGCTCGTGCCATGATTGTCATCTCCATCCTGACTGGAGTCTTTGGATTGGTCGTGTCAGTCGCTGGTGGGAAATGCACTAACTGCATAGAGGACGAGCGATCCAAGGCGAAGGCTTGCATCCTGGCTGGAGTTTTGTTCATCATCTCGGGGTTGCTCTGTCTCATTCCAGTCTCTTGGTCTGCCAACAGCATCATCAACAATTTCTACAACCCACTGTTGATCGAAGCCCAGAGGTATGAGTTAGGAGGGGCGCTGTATATCGGCTGGGCGGCTGCGTCACTGCTGCTGATGGGAGGGGGACTACTGTGTTGGAATTGCCCACCGAAACATGAACACCCCCACTACGTACCCAAATTCACACCTGTGAAGTCAGTCTCCACATCAAGAGAATACGTATAAGATGGTTTGCACTTCCTACATGGACTCTTGAGGTCACAGGAATGGCAACAGAGAAATAAAATCATACAACCTGCCAATTTAACTATAGAATGAAATCACAACTTGCCATGAGCTGAATCCTGAGTTTTGATTGACTGCATGTTTCAACCTGCATGTGGACCTTTCTCACAGGGGACATTTTGTCCTGTCAAGCAAGTTTAACTAAAAGCATAAACAAAGGCTTCATTGCATTTAGTTGTGTCAACGGGGCTCTGAGATTGTGCAGGCTGGCTCACTGTCACACCTAGATGGAACGAAGCTGTATTCAATGTTACCACTGAGCATGTTCCTGCTATGATGAGTTTGTTTGAGAAAAGGTTTGCTGTGGAAAATGTCTGTTCACTTAAACACCAGAAACTTCATTCATGTCTCAGTATAAACTTGATACTAAAAATAAAGTTAACTTAAAACTTAAAATGAAAAAGCCTTTTTTAAATCTACGTTGTTTTTTTGTTTTTTTTTGTGGCTGGTTGATGAATAACCAGGATTTGTATCATGATTATAATTAATCTGTGTAAATATTTAGTCAGATTCTTGTAAGGATTTCCCAGTGTAATTATCTTTATTGTCTTTCAGATGGTAACATCTCAACAAATAAATGGAGGAAAAAACACAGCTTACATCATGTATAACTTGCAGTATACGATATATAATGTCTAACTAACAAATTTCACATCTCTTACGTCTGTCTTGATAACAAAAAGGGTGTCAGTTATTGTTCTCTCCTGCAAAAACACTTGTTGGTTTAAGGAAAGTCTAAGCATTTTTATCTGTATCACGTAAAAATCTGTTTCTAAATCTTGTCATGTTACTGTAAATAAACTATACACTCAGTGGATGAGATGACTGTTTAATTACTTCTGAGAAATTTGTTTTTTATTTCAAATGCAAAGTGACAGGACTGACTTCCTGTGTGACATCACTCAATCAAAAGAATTGTTATGGTGAAACAGATAATCTCTTTTCCTCAGCTCCAGGGGATTATCTGTCTTAACTGGGCCACATCTTGTGTCCTGATCTTAGCACAGGGCCATGCTGCTTGTCTGCTTGCTTTTCATGCTTTTCTTTAACTGCCATATCACATTCAAAAGGGAAAGACTCTATGTGTCTTGTGTACTATCTGGTTTTGCTTTGTGCATCATATGATTTTAGCCGTTTTAAAGAAAAATCAAACTAATCCAGTGAGGAAGAAAACTCTACTCTGTTTGTGTTATAGATACTGTGGTCGACAGTTATACTTAAACAATTCCACAAAATATTTAAGTACTTTTAAGCTTCAGACAGGAAGCTTCCTTTGATCAAACAAATTAGTGACACAAAATACCATCTTGGGAAAACACTTTGCATTTTCCTCCAAAATTGTCTCAATGTGGTACCAAACACAATGTGAAAGTCTTAAAAGTAAATTCTCTTTTATGAAAAATAAGTATAAGCAATAGACTAGATTAAAATAAAATAATAACATAAACTTCATAGTGAAAAGAGATAATCTCATGAATTTTTTTTGTGCTCAGTTGTGTGTGGGGGTTGTTGCCTTAATATTCCCCACCACTACTCTGATTTAAATTAGCACAGCAGAGAGCCTGTTTGTGAAACTAGCTGTCAATTGATAATTTGCCAGCTTTCACAGTCTGAGTTGGTTTCAGGTCTTTTGAAGTCACTAAGTGGTTGTAACTCCATCCAATAACCCCATCCTTGCTGCAGTGAAATCTGCATATTAAAGTGTTTTCCAAGAGCAACAGTAAGGCATTGTTTAAAAACTCCTCGAGCCACTCCTCTAGCTCTAGGAAGAGGAATCTTGTTTGACCAGAAGAACTCACTTGACAACAGGACAGCCCTCCTCTTGTACATTTTCTGACAAACAACAAGTGAGAGAGCTGTGTCACACACACCGAAAGATATCCTGAATCCCTTCTCTCTCCTGCTACAGACAGAGCCACTTCACCATGGGGAGGATTGGCAAGGAAGTGGCAGGTCAGGTCATAACCTTCATAGGCTTTGTTGGGGTGGCGGTGACCTGTGGGATCCCCATGTGGAGAGTGACTTTCTACATTGGAGCCAACATCGTGACTGGCCAGATAGTGTGGGACGGTCTGTGGATGAACTGTGTGATGCAGAGCACCGGGCAGATGCAGTGCAGGCTGAATTCATCTCTTCAGAGTCTCTCCAATGATCTGCAAGCTGCCCGAGCACTGGTCGTCATCGCCCTCATCTTTACCTTCATTGGCTTTATCATCAGCTTCATTGGAGCCAAGTGCACCGGCTGTCTGAAGAGTGATTCATCACAGGCCAAGGTGGTCATCCTAGGCGGCTGTTTCATCATTCTTGGCGCCATCCTGGTCCTGATCCCTGTTTGCTGGTCTGCAGCCATCACCATCACAGACTTCCAGAGCCCCTTGGTTACTACGACACAGAAAAGGGAAATCGGAGCCGCCATCTACGTTGGCTGGGGCTCTGCTGCATTTCTTCTGATCGGTGGGATCATCTTTACCACATCCTGTCCTCCTCAGAAACCCATGTATGGATACCCTGGCTACCCACCAGCACCAGTGTACCCTTACGCAGGCCCAGTGGCAAACCCAGCAACATATGGCCCTGTGTATGTTCCCCCATCCAGTCAACCATACACAGGGACGGGGTCATATGTACCCAGCAAACCGTATGGAGCACCAACCACATACTCTGCTAGACAGTACCTCTAACTGAAAGGACAGAAAGATGAAAAAGACTTTTTGCCAAGATTTCTGCCAGGATGGCTTCATGAACTTGTAATGCCATTATAAAGTAAAATTGCACCAAAAAAATGCACATTGTAATTCTAAAGGATGGTATGTATTCCAATACATTCTTAGGATGTGGAATTAATTCACTCAAACAATCAAATAGATATCTTTCTAGTTTATAAAGTCTTGATATAAGAGGAATATTGTGTCAACGTGGCTGTGACAGTTGGATTGGTTTTCAAGTGAATTAATATATTTATTTTCTTGTCATACAGAACAGATTTTTTTGCATGATTTTGTGATGATTTGTGATGTATGATTTCTTGTAAATGTCACTTTATTTTTGAGATTATTCAGAAGAATTTCAATAAAATGTTTGTAATATATTCACCTATCTGTCTGTGGAGTCATTATACATACACAACATATTGCTACTATTGTATAAATATAAATCTATAAAAATGAAAACAAATGATTTTCTAAAATAAATGTTTCATTTTAATCACTTCAATTTCACTGTTAACTACGGAACATCTGAAAAATACAGGAAATATACAGAGACATAATAAACCTTATGAAAATAAAGAAAATAGAGAAAAAAATAGGTTGTTGAAGCAATCCAATTAACTACAACTTTGATCAATGTGAGAGCTTTGATTCTGATTGGGAAAAAATCTCTTCTTTGAATAGTTAAAAATAAATATATAAGGAAGGAGGAAGGAAAATATATAATAATGACTAAACAGAAATAATGAGCAAAACCAGGAACATAAACAATAAATGGAAGCTCTTGTCGACGTCTGACATCCGGTGATACTCCCACCCATGTTGGTGTTTTTTTAAAAACCTGAAACCGGTGACTGGACCTGATCTTCCGGTAACCTGCCCAATCAAAGGTCGGCCACTGGCAGAGCATACTTTCAGTGAGGAATGTCTCATTTACATAGAGTCTGATGTTCATCTCGTCGAAACTACTTCCCGGCCGCATACTAATAATGTCAAGAATCTGGTTGTGCAGGTCCAGTGCACTGGTTTCAGGTCAGAGGGAAGGACTTCCTGACTCCACCTTCAAGAAAGACACCCTTATAACCAACGAAAGTTTGCCACAGTCTTTACTCAACTTTACAACCTGAGCTGAGGTGACCTGCTCCTGAAACCTTCAACTCTTCTACTTCTGATCAGTTCCAAGTGACTCAAAGAAGACCTCAATATGGTGTCAATGGGAAGACAGATGCTGGGCTTTGCCCTGGCAATCATCGGTTTCCTGGGGACCATCATTGTGTGTGCCCTGCCAATGTGGAAGGTCACAG